TTTCCCAGGAGGCCGTATCCTCTGGGCGTTTGCCAGGAGACTGTGGTCATCGGGGGTGCTCCGCCGAACCGTGTGCTCGCGAGTGCTCCCGCCTGTTCACCGCTGTTGGGGTCTCTTAGGAGACGGAGAGCACCGGTGTGACGTGGTCGTCATGTGGCGCCGGTCGCCGTCGCGTGTGCTAGGCGGCGCAGCGGAATTGATTGGACGGCTTTTCATTGAGGTTTATATGGACGAGACTTACATAGATCATGGAGATTGGCCACTGAGCTGCCATTCTCGGGGTGGAGCAGGTGGCTGCAGGAAGCTGCCGACGCGTGACGATAGCCTGTTTGCCTCTAGCATTGTAAGACACGGACCTTGTTTCGCACCAGATTGAAAGGCGCGAAACGTAAGATAGGCCAGAGTGAAACCCAAGGTCTGTCGCGAGGGCTATCAAAATGGCTGTAAATGTCGATACCGGGGCGTTTTTGTCCCTTCAGGATGAGCATTTTCGTATTGTGCGCCTACGGCACTCTAATTATTTGGTTCTTTGGGTCACAACCTGTAAGCTTAAAATGACAAGTTATACATGATGAAGGAGAAACGATTTCTGGGCAAGAAATAGTATGATAATTTGTTTCTCGGCTTTTCGATGCCCCTGACGTGAAACAACAGGTTGCACCCCTAATTTGCTGGAAGCAAATTAAGACCCTGTCATTACACAAATTAATTAAGGGTAATGCTTGAGCAAGAGGGCTTCGTGTCTAGCAAAGTCTGAGTAAAGTGACGCTCCTCATACCTGCCTGCTCCGTCCCAAGCAACTTCCTGAAGTGTGAGATCGAGCAGATTTACGGCGCCCGTCTTCCCGATGCTGTGATACGGGTATAATAATAATAGTAATAATAAACGATACCGGGATTGGTGCCATGATAAACTGGCGGGAGTCGCTAGTCACCCGTGACCCCGCAGGTGACAGTGTGGTCAGCAGAGCATGATCTGCCACCTGCTCCCACTTGGCACACCGCCCCCCCCCCCCCCTCCCGCTGAGCGTCCACGCCGAGGGGCAGGCGCGCTGAGGCGTGCTGAGAGATGGCTGGTTGTTTTGGCTAGCGGGCGACTCGGCGGCAGCGGTCATATATCGCCCGGTTTTGAGAGACAGGGTCGGCAGTTTGCGTGCCGCGAACGTGGTCTAGAGTTTTGTCGAGGTAATTTGCAATTTAACTGTTGTAATCTGAGTAGGATCTCCAACATTGCGTTAAAATCGATGCCGATGCGGATGTGGGCATTACGTCAAAACTGACCAATGTGGTTGTGTTTTAAGAAAGGACCGATTTCCGAGATGATTGATAACGCAACAGCATCTTAAATTGTTCCAGCTTGCATTGGTTTTTAAATGCATTTCCAAGTTGTTTTTAAGTGTTGAAATAAATTGACCAAGATTTCACAAAATATCTTCTTCTAGGTGCGAACAAAATTGCCTTAGACCCTGATTCTCTTCCTCAAAACCGAGGACCGGGAAAACAACGAAATACTGGGCGAGCATGCATTATCATTCATACGCTGTTTTGCACATATTCAAAGGATGAGACGAATTCATGTTCCGTTAAAGTAGTGCAACCAATCCTCTTTACACAGAAAAACAACAACGGAACCTACCACAGGGACAGGCTCTTAATTTTAACTTGTCCTCTGGCCAAGTATTCTACGGCATTGTGGATTTATATGGCTAAACTATTTGGCATAAGAAGAAGTATCTACTCTCAATGCTTTTCATCTTCTCAGCAATCTGGCCTGTGGTGGCTCAGCAGATTGCTGATTACTTTACCTGCGGCAGAGGTTGGTGTGCGCGTGGTACGACATGTTTCCAAAGTGGCTCACTGAATGGCTTTGGGCAGTGTTTGCCCTTGAAGATAGGTGACGAAATGCTGCTAACATGTCGTGTAAGTTGAAAACGATATAGGCATTGTTCTGTGCTGTGCATTGGCTAATGTGTTTTAATTTGATTTCATATTATAGCTTCCCATGATCTGAGAAACTGGAGACATTTTGCTCGTTTTAATCCACAGTGTTGAATGCAAGTTCCAAATGACGCTGGCTGCTGCTAGATTGTATTCCGTGACAGGGATGCACAGCAGTGACCATTTGCCTGGAACTTGAAATTTGATTGATCTGGTAGTGTCTTTTGTCTCCCTTATCTCTCATGCAGTGCCTTGTCCGTCAGTGGTGCTGCCTGCAAAGCTGAGCTTGTTTCTTCACGTGATAGTTGCTGAGCTCTGACTATAGGCTGTGATGATATGCCACGCCATGCTGGTGTACTTTTTGCTCGATATTGCAAGCCATCAGCCATGTGTTTAAAGCGTGTACCTAAGTTATAATACCAACTGGATTCGTTTGAAACATTGATTAATGCTGCTGATATCCTGATACGATTTTAGCAAATAAGCCACCCAGAATATTCCAAACTTGCACGTACAAGCAACGTCAAAAATTGACAGAATCCGGCCGAAAACCGAATCATTTTACGTGGGCTTTCGGTTTACCAAATTTTAGTCTCCAAGTGACACCAATAACGCATACAATGAAAAAGCTGAATTCCTAAGCGTAATCATGTCGCATAATGAGATGCGCTGCTCTCCGAGTTTTAACTTTCGTGTCACACTCCAGCCTTAAAGTAATCCCATGATAAGATTGCATTGGCGGAACTGACACTGCGACAACAATGCTGAATGGTTGATTGGCAGGCAGGTGGGTGAGGGTAACCAAGCAACTGGAGGCCGGACTAGCGAAGCCAGAATAGGAGGGAGAGGCTCGGCTAGTGGCTCCAGAAGACGAACGCAGCAAGGCGCTGCAGTCCCCAAATGACGGCGTCCACTTCTAAAACGCATAACTCGCTATAACTCAACTGTTATGTCAAAGCGGCGCTGATCGTAATAGGATTAGGCACAAAGTGAGAAGTGGCGTTGGACTTTCCAGCCGGCACTGCTCCTGGACCGGACTGATAAAAAGTATTGGGCATACACGCCGACAAGGTTACGCAGGTGGCGTCATATGCTGAATTGGCGTCGTTGGCGGTGAGTAACGAGCGTGACGCTGACAGGAGCGCGACGAGACACAGCGTCGGCGATCTGGCCCGGGAGGCTCGGGACCAACCGACATTGGGCAGCATCCTGGCGGACAAGCGTGCCCTGAGGTCGAAGCGCATCATCTCCCAGTACCAGTGTCCGGGTCCTAGCATCCTCTTCCATTGCCGCCTATACCAAAGCGGCCTGCCCTGGAGCAAAGATTCCTGTTCTCCCGGACCGAAGCACGAAGCACGACCCCCCCCCCCCCCCCGCCCCCATCTCTCCTCCTGTTGATTAATATCCCTGCCAAGGGCCGCGCAATATCAGCAGCAGTGCTTCGTCCCCGGTGCACCCCTGCTGGCCGTGTCGTGCCTGTAACACCGTATGTTTGCCCTGGCGCCTCGCTGCAAGCAGCTGTCAACCACGCCCGCGTTTCGGTTGGCTCTCCAGCAGGGGGCGTCTGTTACATGCTGTCTAATGCCTATCTGGCGGGGGTGCCTGACGACTTCAGCAGCAACGGGGCGTGCTGTCCGGCGGGGAGTGTCCCGCACGGAGTGGGTGCCAGCTGCCAGGCAGCAGACAGGAGACTCGCTGCAATAGCTCTGCCGCTGGGGAGGGGGGGGGGGGGGGGAGAGGACAGCCTCCGCAGCAGCAGGGGCTGTGTGGAGCACATCCAACAATGAGGCACTCACACTGCGAGATCCTGAGCCCACCACCAAAGCTCAACACTGCACGTAACGGCGCCAGCGATGGCAGCTCACGACGTCCCAATTGCTAGGCATGGCTCGGCTCGCCGGTCGTTTCAACTGCTCCATGGAAGCACGGTCAATGGGGACCGGGAGCGGGACCGGCGGACGTGCCGGCGCGAGGGGCGTCGGAACGAGAAAACCGAATTCGAATCACGTGAAGTCTTGTCCGTTAATGTTTTATTTAGGCTTTCAACTATCCAAATGACTCATTCGTTGGCTACTAATGAGCTGAACTAGCTAAATACGCTTCGATAAACACCGTAGAGAATGAGGACACTCAGCGCTGCATCGATAAAGACTGCAGGAGATATCCACCCGGGCTACTAGCGCCATGTTGGATAATATCGGCCAGAGAGTCTACTCATTGCTGAGAGGCAGAGGGAGAGAGAGAGGGAGAGGGAGAGGGAGATGGAGAGGGAGAGGAAAAGGGTGAGAAAGAGGGCGAGGGAGAGGGAGAGGAAGAGGGAAAGGGCGAGAAAGAGAGAGAGAGGGAGAGGGAGAAGGTGAGGCGGAGAGAGAGGGTGAGGGAGAGGGAAAGAGAAAGAGAAAGAGAAGAGAGAAGAGAGAGAGAGAGAGAAGAGAGAGAGAGAGAGAGAGAGAGAGGAGAGAGAGAGAGAGAGAGAGAGAGAGAGAGAGAGAGGAGAGAGAGAGAGAGAGAGAAGAGAGAGAGAGAGAGAGAGAGAGACCTCGCACCTCACACTGCGGACCTTGTTCGGCTGACATGGCTCGCGAGCGGCCCGGCCCGCTCAGTCCTGTTTGGGTTGGCTGCGGCGTCGGCCACCTTCCCCTCCCTCTACCATTTCCATCACTGAGGCCGCGTTCCTCTCTGACACACTGAATTAAATGAATAAATAAACAAAATGAATCGATCAGTTAAATGGTTGAGTGAAATAGATAAAAGACTTGAATTACTATATAGATGACGTAATTGAATGGCGCTGACCAACGGCTCACAAAACAGTTATTTTTGAGCAAAGGAACTGTGTTGCCTATTTTTTCCTGCTTTGGACCCTTAAGTGCGTGAGTGGCGCTTGACGCTGTTCAGCAGTGATGAACAATTTAAAGCCACTTTGCTTCTGACAGAGTTACTGTGAGCGCTCTTGTGAGACCAGAAGTTGAACGAGAGAGTTGTGGCAGTGTCATCTCAGCATTCGTTGCTTTGCTTTATGGACTGAAGTTCATATCTGATGCTTGTCGGCTCTGGTTTCAGGGGTCTCTGGACGTCGTCACCCTCGTCTTCAGCAGCGCCAGCGGGTGGATCTGGAGCCGCGGCCGTAGGGAAACCAGCGTGAGAACAGGGACCGGAAGGGAGAAGCACCAAGTCTCTCAGGAGGGTCAACAAGAGGCCAGAAAAGCTGGCAGAAGAGGCACGGGCAACTGTAGGCGAATCGGGGGAACCAGCATCATCATCAGCACCGACAGCAGTGCCGCCGTGTTGAGTCAAAGCGCCGGCGACGGTACAGGACGGAAGCACTTCCCCAGTGCTGGTGGCGTTGGTGATCTCAACGCCACGGAAAACGCGTCCTAGAATCTCCCGAGTCTCCTCCGGACTTTTCTGTTTTGTGTGCGACACATATGTGACTACATTGATTTTCTGAGGCTTATCAGCCAGTTTGCAGCTGATGCCAGAGCTTCCAACTTCTTCTCCCGAGCGCGTTTTCTGTTTGCGACAAGCAGGGCAGCCTTTTTTCTTTAATACGTAGTTCTCGACCGCTACCAGTACACGCTCCCCACCGCAGCCACCAGACGGGACTGAGGTGGCCACGGTTGGAGCTGCGTGTGGCAATCCAAGCTCCCGAATCCAAGATCTGCAAGAAACGGCGATGTCCCCCATAAACGGCAGTGCGCCGACGGGCGCGGCACTCTTCCTCGATTCATCCGGCGTTAGCCTGAACTCCAACGCCAGCAACGACTTCAACAACACCTACGGCAACGCCACCGCGTTTCAGGCAGAGTCGGTCGGGCCGATGCACACGGTCATTCCGATGACCGTACTCTACGTAGTGACGTTTCTGCTGAGCGCCGTCGGCAACACGGTCACGTGCGTGGTCATCGTGTACAACCGCTACATGCACACAGCCACCAACTACTACCTCTTCAGCATGTCCGTGTCGGACCTGCTGCTGCTGCTGACGGGCCTGCCGTTCGAGCTGTACTCGTTCTGGGTGCCGAGCCACCCGTACGTATTCGGCGAGCCGTTCTGCGTCGGTCGCGGTCTGAGCGCCGAGACGTCCACCAACGCCTCCATCCTCACCATCGTCTTCTTTACGGTGGAGCGCTACCTGGCCATCTGCCACCCGCTGCTGCAGCAGACGATGTCGAGCCTCCCGCGCACCGTGCGTAACATCGCCCTCATCTGGGTCCTGTCGCTGCTCTGCGCATGCTTCCCCGCCGCGAAGTTCGGCATCAAGTACCACCGCGACGAACTCGATCAGATCATCGAGGGGACGGACGAGTGTAACGTGGTGCGCCACCTCTTCCCGCACGTCTTCGCGGTGCTGTTCATCATCTTCTTTGTGGTGCCGATGCTGCTGATCACGGTGCTGTACGTGCAGATCGGTCTGCGGCTGCGCCGGTCCGGCAGAGCGCGCGGTCTCACCCGTAGCAGCGTGCACCGAGGCGGCTCGGGACGCGGCGGAGCCGGCGGCACGGCCGCTCGTAAGGCCGTCGTCAAGATGCTCGGTGAGCGGGGAGGGGTTGGTCGGTAGAGCACATGGTGGTCGCGGTTCGAATCCCGCGCGGTGTGGAGGTTTGCAGCTGTCACCCCTTTAAGCGCGGTAGGCTGCTGGAAGGGGTGACGCACTAGCGACAGACAGGTGGTGTGCTGTAGTTGTCGCTTGCTGTGACCTCACCCATCATTTTGGCCAGTCTGGATCCAGTTTTTAATCCAGCGCGATAACGAACATTCATTTATCAGTTATCTTTTTCACGTTGCTTTTCTGGTTTCCGTTCTCTGCTTCCTCTTGGGTTCTTTCCGTCCTCTTTTCCCCCAATATTTCCAGGCTGCATCTCCCTGGCATATCACGTAATCTTAATCATATTTCAGCAGCCTTCACGACATCCGTCGTGCGTATTTAACACAAACGCGCGGCTCTAGCACTTCTGTTTATTAGTAGAGATGTTTCGCTACCAATAATGCACGGAACCCACCGACCACGGGTGGTGGGAGGACACTGTTGCATTTACGGAACCCTACAGACCAATTTTTGTTTGAAGCACACAAAACTGCTTGCAATATGCTAAAAATTAGACCAGGAATACACCTGTAAAAATTTAGTGTTGAGGTGTGGCATGGTTTTGATCATGCTATTATGTTAAGTTGAGATAGTCCGATTTTCGGGAAAAAATTGTCTTTTGGCGTGGCCTAGTTAAGTTAATTCTGGCACAGCAAAATGAAACTGGGGACTACTCGTGAGATCTCCCTGCAGTTAATCCGCTGTATTTTTTTTCGGCGGTGCTGCATCACTCTTAGTTTGAAAATTTAAGAGGGATCGCCCCCTATCCGCTTACATAATGAAAGGCGGCGAATCAAAGCGAGAGTTCAAATAATATTCGTTCGACAGTTAGTTTCAGACACCTACGTTTTAAAAGTATATCTGAGGGTGTTGACAAATGCTTCGCTCTAAAGATTCATTACGCATCCCATGAAACTCACTGTTCACGTTTTAAACCCCGTTCTGGTGATACAAAGCCGAAATATACTATTTGTGCACGGAATTGCGCAAGTGTTTTAAGCTCAATTATTTCGACTGCTGCCCTGTTTTCAAATTATGTGTGGTGTTAGCGACTGCCGCTGTAGATCATATCGCCCTCATAAGGCTCCTTCAAAAGGATCCGTATGCGACGGTGTCAAAACAAAGGCCGTTCTCATATTGACAGAGTTTGATATTTGACTTTCAGGCGTCGCAAGGCGCTTTGATCACAGACCGTGAGCTCCTAAACACCACACCGGAAAGATCCTTGACGGAATTAAGTGATAATTGTTACGACGACCCGATATCCCTAGTAGCTCGGTCCCATATGCTGTCGTTTTAGTTCGAGTGGCATGCAATGTTTGGTGTTATTCGCGTTAATATGCGGTCACTGCAGAATTCATTGATCACACCGCTTTAGAACGGTGCCGAATTGCCGTTAAATTTCAGCCATGGGTGTAACCACTGGGGTAAGGAAGTGCGTGGACAAATGTCCCTTATTTTTCAAAGACTAGATTTTGACCTCAAATTGGTCGGCGCAATGCACGTTTTTTATGTTTTCTCGCTCAAAATTAGCGGCGCAGCTGTCCGCCAGATTCCATTGAGGGCTAATTTCTTATTTGTTCCTCCTGTGCCAGAGGCGTTGTTAAACCCATAATTCCAGCCATGCCACAACGATGTAAAATGCTTTAGATTTGTCTAACCTGACTTTTCCAGGTTACTCAGACCCACGGTTTTTTCAGGACCCTGGCGCTTGTTTGGGCTAATTCACGCGTCGTCTGTGCCCAGTGCTGTGACTGACATTGCTCACGTATCGTCCGTCTCCAGTGTTCTTGTTCGTTACGCTCATGATGCCATCTGTCCTCAGTGGCCGTGGTGGTTGCGTTCTTCATTTGCTGGGCGCCTTTCCACGCCCAGAGGCTGATGATTATTTACGCCCCTGGGAACCGCTACCCCGCTCTCAACGACATAAAGCAGGTATGATGTTCCTTTTTATTTTGAAACCCCTCCCCAGTGTGTTTTGTACGGTAGACAAGTGCACTGTTTTGACCATCCAAACCGCATTTTGCGAGGAGGGATAAGCGTATGTTGATGGATGTCTATTCCCGTTTGTTCGGATTTTGTGAGCTCTCTTCATTCGTTCACAAGGCACGAGCATCTCTTAAACACATTGTTGTTGTGGAACACATTCATCGGATACCAATAGGAGTGAAGCATATCACACTACAAACACCAATGCAAAACCACGATTTAACACGCGCTCGGCCGATCGGCTCAATACGAAGGGCTTGGATATGGGGGAGGTAATTTGAACCCGACTGAGATATCTCAAAGTAGAGTTGAAAACACCATGTTCTGCGAGCTCATTTGTGTCAAATTCTTGCGTCTCTGCGTAGTAAATTTCGGGTTTGATAAGGTCAATAAGGTCAGATAAGGTCACGGTCAGACTCGAGATCAGTGTTCAAAGTGCCCGTATACCTCCTCGCACAGCCAGCATCAAACGAGACGCCTTTTTGAGCGGATTAACACTCGGATTCATATCAGGGCAGCGACCTTAGCTCACCCAAAGAGGCTGAAAATGGCCATAACCCTTCGGATGATTTTGACATTTGAGTGTAAAGTCAGGGCCAAGAGCCAAGTGGCATGTTGCCCAAAGGGAAAGATTATTGGAGCGTAATTTACATCAAAGGATATGCTCCGTTTTCCCGTGAACCCTCCTGTTTATGACCATCATGACGTCAAATCATAAATCTGCCGACGTCCCCGTGATTAAGAACTCGAAGCTTGATCGTTTGACCCCGTCAGACACTTAATGGTCGCCCCATCTTGAAAGATACCCTACGAATCACATTCGCTGAAGCCATGACTGACTTCGACCTGTTCCAGTTCCGGCGCCTTAGAAGACGTATTTTTTACAATAACGTTGGCTGTTCAGTCAGCTATGCAAAGCAAAGTTTGATGTTGCGAGACCGAATTTTTCGGAAATTATTTTGGAACAACCTTAGGGGTTCAATCGGCTTCTTACACGAGCCCGAGTTGAAAGCCGGAATCAAAGTAGTAAATCGTGTCACATTTCATCCGACGGATTCAAACGATTGGTGGTACTGAAATACGTCGGTGAAGCGTACAAAGCAGCCGAGAAGATTCACGGAACTTGTGATTTTGCAAGATCGCGCACATTAAGGTTAAGCCTCCGAGAATGCAGCGGGCTGAAAAATGCTGCCGGAAACACCAGGCAAGCGGTGTTTGCTCTTGTAAAAGCCTTGCAAAAATGACAACATGGCACATTGCATCGTTTGGTGGGGTTCTTTACGTTGTATGACAGATACAGGTCGTCGTGACGAACCTCGTCAAAACGAGCTTGTGGAGTCACGGCAAACAATCAAAAATTATTTGCTGGAAATGTTCCAGTCTCGAGTTCACTCATGCTTGTTATTAATCTGACGTTCGAGATTATGTAAGCTGCTAAGTGTGCATGTGCGAGGAACATTATTCACCTAGATGAGACAGTAGCAATAGTCCTATTCCTCCCAGAAAAAAAGCGGGAGAAAGGAGATATAGATGCGTTGATATTTTGGCAACATGCCTTTATCAAAGCAATAGCAGAAAATTATTTAATACACAATAACAGGAGACTTTAATAATATAACACAACAACAGCAGAAGACTTCCGCTGTTGTCTCGATAAAGGCATGTTGCCGAAATATCAGCGCATCTATATCTTCATTCTCCTGTTTTTTCTCTAAGGAATAAGGCTATTACTACTGTCTTTTCTACATGACGTTCGTAATGACGGGTCTGCCCAACTTTTCGGCAGCGTTCTGCTTGTAGGAACAGAGCCACCGTTCAGCTTTGTTAGCTCGACAGCGCTGGTGCGAGGAAAGCAAATTACCACGAACGTAATCCCTGTGAAACTGAGCGGGAGGGCATTTCGGTGTAGTTTAAGTGAAATGCAAATAACATCAGATTTGTTTCATGGTAATAAGTTTTGGTGTAGTGGTACTGGTGTCGGTGTTGCTGTTGGATTGCCTCGAAAGGTGAATTACAATACTTGCATATGTATTTTATGCAATTATTTGGATCAAACAAGGAATCACTGGGACTCCGGCTTCATCAAGCAGATAGCTATAAAGGCGATCCAGGCTCAAGCATTCCAAGATGCGTATTTCACGTCCGTAGGAACAGACTTTACCGATAAACAGGTTAAGTTTAAGCATGTGTTAAGTTTCATAAGTCAAGAGCATAACGCTACAAACACCGCGGCGGTCTTCGTGCACAAATTCAGCTCGGGAAACCAGTCATGTTACTGATCCCAGAAGTGCCCAGGACAGGTTTCATTTCTCGGCCGTGCTTTTTCTGAGGTTGGCGCCTCACTTCATGCCCAGCTATTTTTAGGTGAGCTCCGCCGCCTTGGCTCAACGAATAACAATCAGCGAGTGCCCACGTGAAGCCCCCCCCCCCCCCATTGTTGTCTGTCCTTTCGATAATATCGATGGACGGGGGTGGCCATGGACAGAATAGCGGGTGTTGGCTTATCAAAGCGGGTTCAGCTGTGGGGAGCCGCCTGCCCTTTGGGTCTGGTATTTTTCCACAATTTGTTCCTCTGATTCAGGTGTCTTTTATTATTGGCTCCTGTGAATCAGGTGTTTTTGTCTTCGGCGAAGCCAGATTTTATTGCGTAATGACATGGAAACCTCAATCTTGATGTGATACGATTTACCCAGATGTCCAGTTTGAAATGCACTGCCAGCGACAACCCGTGGCTGATTTTCACGTCGTTTTTTTCGTGTAAAACAATCACTCGCTGGTCTGCGGTTTCCCATTTTGGTCTGTTCAGACGGGCGCTCCTTGTTGGTCACGTCAGAGACATGGTAAAGCAGGTGACGTTGTGAGACCCAGGGGTGCTCAAATTTAGATCCAAAACGGTCTACTGGTTGCAGTGTAAGTCATATCTGGGGTCCAAATATTGGCTGAGCTTATAAATCTGAAGGCATACAGTAAGACTGTGATCGACTAACTAATGCCAATCGTTGCAAAGCTGACAACCATACGTCTCGTATTAAGTGCTAAGACACGCAAGCAGAATTTGTTAGGATCCTCCTCTCTAAAAATATCCGTCGTGACCAGAAGGGGGGTGGGGGAGAGGGGAAGGGGCCGGGGAAAAGAAGACTAGACTTCCTTCGAAAGCGGCGATGATTGTCAAAAAGCACAATGCATCAGCCGGACATGCGCCAGGACCTTAGCGGCACACCATCGACCAGAGGGGACATGTTTGGCCCCCTCCCCTGCTGGTCTCGATAACGGTGGGGCCGAATTTAAAAGATAAAAACAAAATGGCAGACTAGCGCACCGGCGTGCGGTCTCAGACTACACATCGTGTTTTAGTGGTTCGAGCTACCTCGTCACAGCGCAGCCCCGCAGACTGCGGCCGCGGTTACTGGCCCGGCTGGGCACCGGCAACGAACGCCGCGATGCGTTTCAAGCCGTAACTTATGGACATCGTGACGTGCACTCGCTTGAAACTTGCTACAGGCATTATTCATGGTGATGTTTAGGCGTTTTGGGTTTTCATGATTTTGATTCTTATGCTGAATATTTTAAGTGTCGCTTTTATGGGTATTTTTGGCAATACGAACCAAACAACAACGCATATGAATGGCACATTATCTGAATCACATTTTACGTCTACCAATTTCAGACATCTTCTTTCGTTCACTTCTCTATATTAATTTGTCTACGCCCACGTGCTTTTATCAAAAGTCGGTAAACATGGTGTCACTCTAACGTCACTCATGCTTGATTTATTATATTCTCGTAGTCGTTATTTTGATGCAAGGCAGTTCATTGATAAATTAATAGCTACTGTAGCATGTGGCAATGATACCTCAACGCATTTTTACATTGTCGCAAATATTCGGCGGAGGTAGATTTTACACCTGGCTCGGTCAATACTGGGTTAAGCAAAACCATGGCGTGGGAAATGAGCGTTTTATAGCCTGGGACTGTGCACATTCCGCATCTCGATGTAACTAAAAATGTCCATGTAAGCAGACTGTAAGTCAAAAGAGGTATTTCACGTGTTTCGGGGAGTCAGATATCACGGTATCTACATAAGTAGTTGGTGCGCGGTGTTGCGGGCCGTTTTTAACACTGAGGTCCATGTTGCAAGTCAAAGCACTAGATGAGCTACACACTCCGGAATGATCACAGGCATACACGACATACATGCAGGCCACTGGGGCGTCGGCCAATCGGTATTCTTCAATTTGACGTCACAGGGGCGTTGGCCAATTAACATTTTTCAATCTGACGTCACCAGGGTGCTGGCCAATCATAATTCTGTAATCTGACGTCAACGCGATGTCATGCTGCTGTATAAAACCACCACGCGGCCTCCGTGCCGAGTCAACCCTCCTGCAAGAAAACAGCTGGCCTGCCTGTGCGGGGCATTCGGAGCGGCGCGGCACATTCTGTGCCAACAACACAAAGCCGTCGAATCTGGAGTCGAGTCTTATGAATCCCGAGGGACCACGGTAGCACCCTCGCACAGCAGCGGTCTGCAGGATCGCACCTGGTGCTACGTCACATATTTGGTGCTCACATATTTGGTGTTTGACTTGACACCTGTCGGGGTGTAACGCCCACGGCGGGTGTTATATGACGCCACTAGCGTTGCGGTATTTACGCCATCTTTAGCAGCACGGCTGACATCCTGGTGTTGTAGCCTTTGCACAATGCCGGTTGTTCGTAGTGCACACCCCAGGCATTTCCTCACACAAGGAGTTAATCTACTCGCGCATTGTTTACACCCTCGTCTTCTACATTCACGCCACACTTGTTTGCAGCACACACTCCATGTCTTTCTTCACACCAGCAGTTATTTGACTTCACTTGTGTTTTCAGGGTCTGCATTACGTCTCTGGCATACTGTACTTCGTCAGCACCTGCGTGAACCCCATTCTCTACCACATGATGAGCGCCAAGTTCCGCCAGGCTGTCCGGGTGAGTCCGTGATGCGTCCATCGTGAGCACGTGAGTCCGTAATGATGTCGAGGGGGGGGGGGGGAGGAGCGACTGGACAGCACTGCTTTTTCGCTGACGCAGTGCGAAGACCAGTAGGATTCCGGCAACTATATGAGACGGAAAGAAGGATACATGGAGGTGGTCCCAGTACTATGGAGGCATTGGATGGTGGGCTTTGGGTTAAATGGTAGACGAGTGGTCTATCGCTGCGCAGATTTAGTGGGAAATAAGTAAAGTTGTGAGTGCTTGGAAAAAATGTGTTCATTATTGCATTCTCCGATCACCACGGTCTTCATTATTGAAGGTTTAGTTCGTATCTTTCGATTGGATGGATTTCTGGAAAAGGCGTCCACGTTTCTGGAATAGGCGTCCAATAAGCTTGTTTTGCGTGGGTCCCGATCCTATCATCCGATCGAGAAATTCCAGGACAACAGTAGAATATTGCGGTGGAGCCTTCAGATGCCGCAATGCTCGGCACGGTCCGCCCTGCCCTCTGGCGTCACCTGACCTTTAGCTCGGCCGCTGCTGCCGGCTGCAGACCATACCTGTCAATAGAAAACAGCGAGCAGCGCGGTTAGAGTGGCTCGAACGCACCCCGCCACTAGCGGGTGGTCTTGAGCCAGGAGCTCTAACCAACTGAGCTATCGGAACTGGCAAATGTCTCACTGTAGTTGGTGATTTTTCGGTGCTGTATCGCGTGCGAATTCGTTCAGTTCTGCGGACTGTTTTCTTCTGGGGCTACTCCAGACTTTGTGTCAAAAGGCACCTGAAGAGAAAATCCATGCAATATATATCAGTATCCCAAGCCACTACCACGTTTACGAGAAGCATTTCGTCTCCGGAGACTTTCTCGTGCTTGCTCCCAGCTCCAACTACGTATATACAAAAATATTTTGAAATGGCCAAGAAAAAAGCTATTGGTAAGCACTCGTCGAGTTCTTTTCTACTCAAAGCCTTCAGCTCTAGGTTTTTTATGAAAATGCATTTCCTTTCCACGGGATGTGCCTGAACGCCAAATAGTCCCAAATCAAACCTGTTTTTGGGAGGTAAATCAGATTGGATACAGATCAAAACAGCTCCTTCGAACTCAAATTGGAAGTGGGGCTCCAATATTTCCAAGAACAGTAACCATCACAAATGCATTGGATATGGATAGGTACTTGCCTCCAATCCAATTAGCATCGATATTGGTACTTGGTCACTTTATGGGACAAAGAAAATTGAAAGGGTGAAAACAAAAATGCTAGGTCTTTTTCGCTGTTTTATTATCTTTATCTTGCCATGTGCTCATCCGATTTGATGTAGCATCACAGAACCTGCCCTCCCCGCGGCGCCCGCCCTTCCTGCCAGGGTGAGAGGCAGGCGACGCCATGTAGCCTCAGCAGCTGAGTGCGTCGTAAAGCCCCAACGACATGACATGACACACAGAACCTGCTTCATGAAGTTGTTATTCACTGGGAGGTACGCCAATCAGTCAACAGACGTCAAAACGCCATCAAGTACAGTTTTGGTTGCCAACGGCTTAATGCTGCCAGCTGTAAAACCACCGAAGTAACATTGTAGAATGTAAGCCTAGGCTGAAATGGCACATATATGATGACTTTGTTGAGGACTTTGATATGCGGATCTAGAAATGGCTCTTAAAGACATGGCATATTCTTAGGCTTAATGACTTGGATCTGACGATGGTGTTTTATGCTCTTATTACGGCTGGTGTTGAGGATCGATGCGAATATTTACTGTATCGATAACGGCAAAGGTGTACTCTCAGTAATTCACGATCGATGCTTTATCCATGAATGATGCGTTTTGCAACAATATACGGATAATTAAGGCTGGTTATTCATGGTTGAGCTATGCTGCCAAAGCATCATGTATGGGGACGTGTGGGATTAAACTGTGTTGCTGACATACATTTTTCGCCTGGCATGCTTATTTCCAGATTTAAGCCAATATCACATGTCATTTGCATGTTCGCTCTACCTCGGGATCCAACAGAGCGATTTAGACAATTCGAACGCAATATGAGAGCCTGGCTACTGCTGAACAACATTTACTAAAGACCACTGTGCGCGGCTCCACTGCACTACTAAACACATCTCCACTCAACACACGCACAGTACTCATCCGCCTGGGAGCCGCAGCATTGCAACTGGGGTAGTTAGTGCTGAAAGGGCATATTTACATTGGAGTAACCTTGTATGCCACGCATGTTGTGTAGGGGTTGTACTTCAGGCGGTATGCGTATGAGGCGTAGTGCTCACACGTGTGAATCACGTGGGGTACAGACGTATGAAGCGTAGTGCTCACACGTGTGAATCACGTGGCCTACAGACACTAGGCTTGACTGCGTCGATCTGGATTGACAGGCAAATCCAGCGGACCCGGGAGCCCGCTCTGGGTAGACAGTTATAGCAAACATAGGGGTGATAGGGTGGAGGCTTTCCAGATATATGACGTTACGTATGAAGTAACGTAAGTATATTTTCCGTAACGTGTGATGTCACGCAATTCATGGGTGACTTATTACGAAATCAAGGCAAGCATGCTATGCTCTTAACAACTTTGGCGGTGCACAGAAACATGAAATTATCGATAAGCTATAAACTTGTTCAACTATGAAGGGCAAAGAAAAGGAAATTGGTCATCGATATATTCGGAAACTTTATCGATGTTCCGAACACTTATTGTGACTTTCGATTCCACTTACAGTACGTTTGATCCATCGCAGCACAACGCACACCTGTGGTAATTGCTGTCCGCTTTGTGACTCCAATGTAAGCCAGCCGGGTGGCCAAAATCAACTGTGTGTTACGAACAGGACCGGTCAAAGCATACTGAAAATTATAAACAGGCGATTAGCATTCAGCCTTTTATACAATGCCTCAAATCATGTCCTTGGCTTGTTTGGGTCCACTTTTTCACTGAACTCAACTCCAAATGAGTTGAACGCCACTTAAATCCCTAGCGCCTGTTGGACTTTTCGCCGGCCTTTCGTTTGCGAAGAGCTCGCCGCTTCGGTTTGTTACGTTCACCAAGTCGGATCCGATAAGCCAACGGCGACCGGCAAGTGGGCTTCCAGCGCTGCGTTATGCCGTTCGGTTCTAAAAGCAGTCGCCTTTGCAATTGATTTTATCGCGTCGTCATTGAAGCTGCAGAGCACAACGCAGGTCAGCGATAGGCTACCGATGCCATGGCGGCGAGCTTAAGTGCTCGATATTCGCCAGCAGTTGTGGGTTGACTTTTCTAGCTCCGGCTATATAAGATATGCAATGTTTGTGGCAGGAGTAATACAGTGTAACCTGATCGTCTCTTTGTAGGAGAGCCGGACCATTTCACCTTCCCGCCTGCTATGCTGCATTGCCGCGCCACCTTCGGGCCCTTACTCCGATACGTATGACTATTGATCGTCTTCGTGACCATTAAATTGCATCGCTTGAAAAGTAGTCAAAATGTGGGCTAGATTCAGTTAAAAACAGGAAGGGGCCGGACGGGTACGCGACCGTCGGTCGTGCCCGTACGTCGCCACACCCACGAGGCTATTTCAGTTCAGATTGAAATTTGAAACTGAACGGCGGGCGGCAAAGAGGAATCGATACCCACATGTCCATCGCATCAGAATAAACGCCCATGGTGTCCGTATCAGAGCTTATGTATCACTGAGAGCACTCTCGGTAATTTCCATGTCAGACGTACATCTTCAGAGCTTCCGCACCGGCCCCGTTGCGGCGAGGTTTTATCGCCAAAAAAACAAAGCAGACGACTGCCACTTCACGTAATTCATGCTGTGAATGTTGTTTGTTCTTGCGAGGCACGCTGACACACCCTATAAACTGGGGTCGAAGGGGGGGGGGGGGGGCTGTGTTCCCGACAGCTGTTTGCCAGCTCATTGTTACTGATCTTGTAATCTGCGTTTATCTGTTTATCTCTTATCTATTGTTATCTCTTTAATGCCGTCCGCGAATGGAAAGCCTTGGTGGAGGGCGTGATAGCGAGACTGCTAGAACTAAAAAAGGTATTGAGGGTCTTAAGGTTCAAAGGGGTCAAAGGGATGTTTTGTTTTAGCTGTACCGCTTTTCCAAATGAGCAAACGGTTTAGCGTGGCGTTGTGCAGGTGATGAGATTGGCATGCTGTACACTTCTTCACCAGCTACGTCCCAGCCTGCTTTCACGTTCACTTTTACACCAGACAACATGACCTTACACCCGCCAAGCCAGCCTTATCTTGGTCCTGTACTCCCCAGTGGGGTCTGGTCTTGATTTTGATCTCTTTCTATGGCGAATAGTCTCATAATCAGGGTCACCTTCAGATTCACCGATCTGTCGGACACAAACATTAAAAACGCATTACGCCGAGAGAATCGGAGAACTCAGACACTGTCGCTATCCAGGTTTCACCGCCTACCTGTGGATCATGATATTTACACTATTGCAGACAGGAATTCGTCTGGCTACGAACAGCCATTGTGTGTTTGCCAGCCGTTCTGCAGACCGTTTTGGTCGTGTATGTTTCCAACGTAGGCTGCTGCGCCCACTTTCGATTGCATTTGTATAATCGCCGCACTTTCCTCGTTTGAACGACACGCGATGGTTCCACTTTTTGTCCTGGATCGGGTTTTGCTGGTGCTTTGCGCCAGTGTTAGCCATTTTTGCGGGCATATTTATGTTAAAAAGGTGTGGTAAAGTAAGGCAAAGTCGCTTGGAACGCGAAATACGCGCATATAAGTGCAAAAGGGGAAATCGTTAGAGACACCGGGAGAGCGAGTTATGCTGAAGTGCAGAAGCATTTTGGGTGATGTTTTGGATGCTTCCAAATCAACACCATCGTCCTTGTCTACATTTCTCAGTGGTCAGTGCTTTCCAGCACGGTAGAAGTGGTTCCAAGTGGTTCCAAGCTACTTCAAACGTGCTATAGCTCTACAATTCTGTGTAGTCTCCAATCAGCGTATCCCTTTTACTGTATGTAAAGATATTACAACCATTTAGACGAGCGTTATGACAGACGTGGTATCACCGTTTCGGTAACGAAACACGTAAGCGAGTCGCTTTCGGTAGCTGATATGAATGGGTATCACAGCGTACATTATTTATGAGTTTCGCAGAGATAGGCGCACCCACGCTTAGACTTCACGCACGTCTTGAAAAATGCTGCTAAATATTGGCTGGCCGTAAGGATGACGGGGTCTAGCATCTGAAGCCGCGGAATCTTTGACTTGTGATATTTTGGGTGCCACTTAGCTGACATGAACTAACGTGTGTGCCGATGCAGCTTTTTCATCTCTTTTTCATCTCTATTGGTTTAGCCACACAGCTCGTCATATTTGAAACCGCTTTCGGGAGAGGAGACATCGACAGCGTTCCGACTCATTTCTGGTGCACCTGACTGTCGGGCAGTGCTCAGCACGCCTAAAGTTCCATAGACGGTACATTAGCATGCGCGGCGGTTGGGTGATTGGACGTCATTTCCTGCTCTGGTTGGCCACATCTGCGCTAAATTCGTAACCGTCGCTCTATGAGCGTTTCTCTTTTACCTTCGCCCTATAAAGGTGAGTGCTTCATGAGCTCTCCCCCTCCAAAAAAAAATGTTACAAAACCAGGTAACCTAGAGCCAAGGGAAGGCGGCGGAATTGGAGTGCTGTTATCAAACTGCATCAGATACGGGCAAGCGAACAACACTGATTGTGGCTTTCGACAAGTCACATATAGTCAAAGTGGTGAACTCAGCACTTTATGTACTCTTTTCCGGCATACCGACAGCTTAAAACGCTACAGCAATGCAGAAAGAGGCATTCAACAGCCCTTGGAAAGTTCCATTGCGTGGGCACTTGTGGACGTAGATAGATTTGACCTTTGATATGGCACGCCAGGTCAAAGTCAAGGGTTAAGACCATTGTGCCATTGACCCGGCTGCCTATATCAAGATGAAATAAACCACATCAGTACGAAAAATAGCGTTTACAGCATCAACAGACGTTAGTTCTGTGTCACTTGCGTTTAAAACATATCACTTCAAAGTGTCATATCTGGTCTCAAAGGCAATAATATCGACCTGGCTTGACCTTCAGCAACGTTACCTTGCAAAAGCACCCATAAGATAATAACTTTAGCTTCATTGAGTTAAATAGTAGACTAGGAAACTTTGGTAGTGCGTTTCCTGTGAGAAAATGCATATTTCGTCATTGCAACAAAATGCCGGCGACGTGGTCGCGAGAAAGACAATCAAAGTCATGAAGCTAAAAACTTTACATTTTTACACCATGTGTAAGAGTGGACAGTGTTTTGTACACCATGCTGTTCCCGAAAACACCAGAGTGTCTTTGAAGGCTCTTTCCATCGTAGGACGAGCACTATAAAGGCTCCAAAACGTGCGGATTCATGGTTTGCACATGACGCAAAAACGGCCGTGAGCATGTACAAAGACTTCACGCAACATGATTCTCTGTTTCCTCCTCCCTCAGGGTATGTCTGTTTCATTGTTCTGTAGCATTGTATCATGGAGATCTTGATTTAGCTTTAGCACGTGCTTCTTAAGTTGTTTGCCATCACAAAGTTTCACGCATCCCGTCTCACATGTTGATGAAATGACATCTGTGAATACAAAGGTGGACGGAAATGGCGCAATTTTCTTTTTTCAATCTAAGTGTAGGTTTAGATGTGTATTTCAACGTGGGGTTCGACCTGTCCAGGAATCAATGAACAAATAAGGATGATTACAGGTGCAAAAGACTGGAGAAAGCCGCGTGGTGTATTTCAGAAAAAGAGCCAGATTGGACTAGATTGGAACAGACTCCCATAGGAAGAAATAGTTCTGCTTGTTTCAAAATGACATATTTTTGTAGATGACGTGCTTTTTCCGACGTTTTCATTTTTGCTTTCATCGTCTGAAACTCCGTACAAGCTGTGAAATGATTTCTGTTCACTGGTGTTATCTTTCCGCTCATTTAAATTTGTCAACAAACCCCATCTGCGAAATGGCGTGATCCGCTTCCACTCTTCTGTTTCTATTGAATACAGGTGCTGAGTAGTGCTGACTCGTTTCTACCCCTGGTGTGAGGCAGAGACGTCTGAAACCCTGGTGTAATGGTGAACACTGTTTTCCCCGCAGGACACTTTCGGGAAGACCTGCCACAAGGTGTGCTGCAGAACAGGTGAGAGCTTTTCTCCTAGCCCGTTTCATCACAGTGCTTTTCTCACAGTTTTACCCACAGTCGGTGACCTCGCGCGGAGTACTAACCTGAGGCCCGGTGACACGAACCCGTTACGAACGGAGCCGAACTCAGTGCGTTTTCAAGGTCCGGCGGCTTAAAGCGCGATCCCGACAGTATGGAGGTAGTTTAAAGCGTGATACTGACCGCAGGGAGGTGGTTTAAAGCGTGATCCAGACAGTACGGAGGTGGTTTAAAGCGTGATGCCGACAGTAGGGGGGTGGTTTAAAGCGTGATCCCGACAGTAGGGAGGTGGTTTGATAGATAAATAGATCAATAGACAGATATATCCATATACAGCTGGATATATGTAAAAAATGGCATACCGATTGGCAGAGAGGGAGAGAGAGAGATTTATATATATATATATATATATATATATGTATATATATGTATATATATATATATACATATATATATATACATATATACACGCATGGGTAAGTTTTGTATAAAGCGCATCAAGGCTTTCGTGCGCAGTACACGTTAAATTTTCAGACTTTCGGAGCGAGCAGGGGGGTCTCAGTGGTGCGGTTGGTAACGTGCTGGAGTTTTAATGATATGGTCCCGCGTTCGAGCCCAAGCCGAATTAGGACTTAACTATGAGCTCCGTGTGCAAAATGATGAAGTGCTCGGCGGCAGCGCATGCATGCTTTTGTTTTAAAGCAGTACTCTTTTCTCTAAAAGTTTCTTGCAAAAATGCTGGACATAGCACCCACTTAAACGCGAAATGCTTTCACTACTTTGGCGCGTCTCCATCGCGCTACCTTCGATTACAGGTGGCCAAATATTTTGTGGGAACGTAGGTTCTAATGCATATTTACAGCTCTAGTATATTTTGGCATAATACGCACGTTTATATTCTGAGCTTGATTCCACCCGGCTTCTACTGCTCTGGCCTGAAGCATTTCATTATCACGTCTCGCATGCTCAGCACTGAACTTTCCTATACCGTGTTGTTGACCCTCTGTCCACAGTTGCCAGGGCATGCCTGGATGTTCCATTTGGCAAAAATCCGAGTTCGAAGAAATCTGGTTTGCACGCGACGCTTTGGGTTCTGAGCGTCTGCTAAGCAAGGCTTGTTGGGTATGCCCTGAACCCGCCACCCATTTTGCGCCGTGCAGTTCAGCGGATAACTTCGCCCTAAAATGGTAATTTTGAAGATGCATAACAAATTATTTGGAGGATTTTAAACGGATAATTTTTTCCGCACAGATAATTTTGAGGATATTCTATGAATAACTTTGCCCACCGCTCTGCCAGCCAGAACTGCGTTGGATTTTACGCGTCGATGAATCCTGGGGCACCGCCGTCCCGGACCTGGGTTGGCCGTCGTTGGCCAGCCGCGATCTTATCTTTTCAAGTCAGACGGAACAGTGAGCCCGTTCTGGGACTCTAACCCAGTGCCGCTGGATTGCGAGTTCAGCATATTACCGCAGACGACGCAAACGGTTTCCTCACCGCCGTTGAACGAGATGGCACTCGTGGCTACACGGATACAGTATTTCTTTTTCATTTACACAGACCGGCTGCTTTTGCGGCGGTCTTGGAACCAAGGCTGTTCAGTTTCAGATGTCATTCTTGCTTCACTGCGTGTGATCCGGTGAGATCTTTATTTTGCGTTGCTGGAATAGCTGTGGACGCTCAGGGCTATGCTCGCTCAAGTGGATCTCTATCATCGTTATCAAGCTGACGACGCCAAAGTGGCAATCATCGATACCGAAACGTGCCCTTCCACCGTTGTTCAGACGATGCACCGCCGTTGAGATTTTCCACAACTGCGGCCAGCTTGATGGTACGGTAGCGACGGCTTATGTCGTCGATGAAGAGCAGCAGGTTGTCTTTCTTCAGAGATTTATGCAGCTCGCGCTTGCGGCATCCTAGGTTGAAAGCGGTGGCGAACCACAGGGCTCGGATGAGGTGGCGACTAAGTCAGGCCTGCTTCGTCTTCAGGGTGATCCCTTATATTTTCAGGTGGCTCTTTTCGGGATGACATTCTTCCGCTTGGCCTTGGGGTTTCCTTGCTTGACGCGAAGCATGCATTTTGCCGTAAAAGTGCAGTTCGATTTAGCGAACTCTACCGAACAAGGTATCCAGCAGGATGCCACGTTCCAAAAAGAGGTTTCGCCTTATCCCCGACCGGATAACCACGCTGTGCGTCAGTGGTTTGCGTGGTTTGCGTGGTTTTCAGTGCTTTGCCGCCTGCGTTTTTCACAACCTCGTTAAAAGGCCTCACCTTCTGCGCCAGCTCCTGTACACTCACAGTTAGGAAATCGACTTCGATGTCGTTCGATATCGATATCGTTTATCGAGGCATTCCTGCAGCATCTGTATTGCCCACTTTGTATGCCTGACATTGGCGGGTGCGCGGCGCCGGTCAGGTTATTGAACGAATCTTCATCCATTCCATAAAAGCACGCATCTCGCTCATTTTCGCCGTTCCTGTGAATTATCAGCTTATTGCCTTAGAGCCTATGAAAATAAATGAAGCTATATAAAATCCTAGCGATAAATAGTGTGTTGGAATCAGAACGAATTTTCTCTGAAAGCCTTTACCGAGCGGGCTTTTTCATCGCACGCGCGTGATCCAAATTCAACTAAGAAACACGCGTACTCGTTTTGTACCTTTTTTTGTTATGCACACTGTCCGTCAGATGTAGCAGTTTCGAATTCCCGGTGAACGCACCTCAATGTATATAAAAATCACAGCACAGACATGTGATGGATATGGGTATTTTTAGAGACCAAAAGTATATAATTGTTGAAACGATGCGCTTTCATTAATGATTGAGTGCTTGGGTGCATGCTTACGTGTGTACGTGTATGTGTGCCTGTGCGCATGTGTGCGCATATACATAGATATGTATATACATATATATATATATATATATGCATATATATATATATATATGTATATATATACATATATATATATATATATGCATATATATATATATATATATGTATATATATACATATATATACATATGTGTGTGTATATATACATATATACATAAATGCATGCATATGAAACTGAATATGGGATAGGAAGGTTGCTGCCGAGTTTGAATGAACAAAGTCCATTCAGCGCCTGCCAGCTACACGCCGAAATGTCCTGCTCCATGCAAAGTCTGCGATCTTGGACGGTGCTGCGGGGTCCGTCATGCCCCAGTCCCCAGCCCCAGCCCCTAACGCCCGGCCCTCGGGCCGGCGGCTGAGCCTCTCCCATTAAGTTTGATGACCACTTGGCTGGCCGGTAGCCGGCATCATTTGGCACGGGCCCTGCGGCGTCGGATGTTCGAGGAATACACGTCCGCCGCCACGTCGCCCAACTGGGACGAACTTCCTGCTGTTCGAGGCCAGAGTAGGCAGTGCAGTGATGGATCTGGGGACAGGGTGGTGGGGAGGGGTGGGCAGGTAGGACGCTGTGTACCATTGGTGCGTTCTCGACATAGGCGTTCTCCGTTCTTCCAGCTTCGCTCATGCACACAATGCGGATGTCTCGAATTCACAGGGGGTGACGGAGTTGACACGGTTTTGAAAGTTCTCTTACACCCTTGAGAATTCTCGTACACTTCCGACGAAATCTCAGCACAAATTCACCAATCCAAGGGAAGACTGCAGCACCCTGGTGTTTACCATAGATAGATTTCAGCAATGACAGACAGCTGACCGTAGATAATCATGAGCAGATTAGGAAATCACAAATTTCCAAAAAACTAAAACATCCAGGAAACGAATGCTGATGCTCCCACTGCCCGGAGAACAAGGCGTCAACTAAACCAAAAGCCCAGTAACTCGACCGGCGCGTTTTCAGTAACATCTCGACGAAGTCTGACCCCGCTCACTACGGTCGTCGGCTTGCTGCACCGTCCAACGAGCGCGCGCAGCGCGGCCGAGCTGCTTTCGAGTGCAGGCACGAGCCAGGGGGAGCACTGTCCGTAGTTGGTGCTTGCAAATTGTAAGAAAGGTTTCTCCGCCGAGCGGTCCTCCGCCCAGTTTGGCCTTAATTGCTCAGTTTGACCTTGACCGCTCAGCTTGACCGTAATCGCTTGGCTTGACTTTGACTGCTCGGTTTGGCCTTGATCGCTTAGTTTGACCCTGATCGCTCAGTTTGGCCTTGATCGCTCAGTTTGACCTTGATCGCTCAGTTTGACCCTGACCGCTCAATTTGACCCTGGGCTCCATCACGCAATGTGGTAGCCTGCGCGCCGGCGCCTGGCGCCGCCGCTCGCAAAAGGACAAGAGAGGTCGGAAAGACAACTGGGACCAGGGGTGGAGCCAGGGACGCCATGTCCTGGCCATGTCCTGGCCTGGCCATCGCCATGGCCATGTCCACTCCCTTTCTGAGATATAGCGTGAGGCAGCCCTTGTACCGCACTTTCAGTTTAAGACAGGTTAAAAGCAATTAAAACGGCCAGAGAGCTTCTGATGCATAAGCACGGACCCTCGACCCAGCGAAACAGGACCCAGAGCATGCAGAAGGTGCACAGAATCCAAATGCGGGGCCCCCTAAGGCGGCGAAGTTTGACCCCCTTGGCTGACAGACCCTATGCCTCGCTCCCCCCCCCCCCCCTCCCACCCGGGCAACACCCTGGTCTCGCCACTGCTTGGGATCGGGAACATTCCATAAGTCTGTATCGTTTCAGATGTGGGAACTGACATCTGGCGAACTTCACTCGTTATCGCAATGTGTTGTACCAAGAAACCTGCCTCATCGATACGCCCAATGCATTTTACATTCTATTTAGCCCTCGCCAGGGTTCAATTTGACCTCGTTCAGTCCCCATTCTCAGTAATGATGTAATTATTATGCGGCACTCATGACGCCTCTTCCGGCGGCGCAGATGTTGAGATCGCCTGCCTTTCGATCCACCCGCCCGTGGCGGGGTGGGTTCGAATCGCTTTAGGCGCTCGTTATTTGCCCCTGACAGGCGTGGCCT